TTTTTTTTTTTTTGATTTCGTAAATTGTATTTGTCTGCTGTTTTGATAGAAAAAAGTCTTTGTTTGCTCATCAAATTGTATGTTTTCATTTTGATGTTTGTTGTCCGAATTTTGCGCGGATAGAAATGTACTTGCCCTTCCGATCAGCAGCAGAAGAACTGGCTTGTTCGAGATCAGCTCTTTTGTTTGTGATAATAGCTGGTGGTATAAATGGGTGAATTCGGAGGGTTCCCCAAGAAAAGAGGGAGATCGAATTGCATGAACTGTTGGTAAGCATATAGCATGCAAGCTGTTTGTGATTAAATTCTGTTAGCTTTATGAATGCTGAGAATCGCTCGTAAAGCATTCTGAATGGTCTGTTATCGCATTAATTGTTTTTATCGTTCGTGATCCTCATTCATCTGTACAGTATTTCCTGGAACAGATTTTGCTAAATTTTTGAATAAATTCGTTTCCTGTGTATGCTTCTGGAAGCCTTATTCTGTAGAAATTTATGCCCTCTGAGATCCTCTTTACTGAAATTTACTAATTGCTTTTTCCTTTGGGAAAATCTGGCCCTGACACTTCATCTGTCAAAGTTAATGCGGATTCGCAGAAAACGACTGTGGACCAGATGAACTCTGTTTACTGGTTGGACCGCCAGAGTGAGAAAGATTTGGCAGGGCTAAATTTAGCAGCTAAAGTCAAAACCCCTTTCCTATTCACTCACCGGGACAACCGGAACAGCTTGGAAGTATTTTTATGGCAGAAAGTGCCAACAGCAACCACTCACTGGCAAGGCTGTCGATAGCTTCCTCTTTCATTTAAAAAAAAGTAATTAGCAACGCGCACCAAACTAGCCGGCGATCATGCGTTTTGTGCAGTTCAGCCATCGAACGATTGCCTATTAATGATTTTCACTGCCTTGTACTTTAGTCTATGCGAAAATAGTTCAAACATTGGAAAATAATTTCACGCACCAGCGCATGAAAGCTGACTTCGAAACCTTGAAGGGTGAATACCTTTCCGCGATTCCCGAGGTAATAGTTCACCCGCCAGAATTTTCACGAGGCTGAAGGTGATACTCAAGAGTGCGGGAACGCTGAATTTAAATAGATAAGGTTGAGCGTGGGCAAGGAGTCATTACCCTAAAATTTCAACTTTCTAGACCCCGTGGTTCCCGAGATAATAATTTGCCCGTAAAAACTTTCACTAGCCGGTAGGTGATACCCGAGAGAGCGGGGACGCTGAGTTCGAATGGGCAAGGTTGAGTGTGGGCAGGGGGTTGTCCCCCTAAAATTTCAGCCTCCTTAATTCCGTGGTTCCAGAGATATTAATTTACCTGTAAAAAACTTTCACGGGGCCGTACGTGTTACCCGCGGTACGGGAAGGCTGAATTTAAATTTGACGCGTCACCCGTTGGAGAGGAACATTATACCAAAATTTCAGCCGCCTAGCTTTTATGGTTTTCGAGTTGAAAGTGCGGGACAAAATGTGGGACACACACACAAACAAATAAACACACATACACAGACAACTCCGAGACAATATGCGTTTTGTAACCCTGTTACACAGCACAAAACTCATAAAAAAGTCTGATGAGCCGGTTAATGTGTGGTACTTGAGTCCGGTGAAATGCGAAGAACTGCTAACATATTTGTTAAATACAGGCGCTAATTTGGGCGAGATTTGTAGTGTTGTACTTGAATGAAGTTGACTTGACGGATGATTTTAGCTTCCCGCTTTCTCAACAGACACTGAATTTAATTAATTGGCCGATAAATATACGTACCGAAACATTTCTGTTTACCTGCTCAGAAATGTTTCGGTCTTTGAAATCGTATAAATTTTTGTTAAGCACCACAACTGGACGTCTTCCGTAGGACGGCTGTAGTTTCAAATGGTTTCAAGTAAGAAAAATGTCAAATGTTTAAATAAGATACCTTTTCTGGTGATATGGTGGGACACTAACACAATAAAGAGATTATATGTGCGGGGAATTCGGCGCCTGTCTATGCGAATCAGCATGGGATTGTGGTTTATTGTTTATGGAAAAGGGCAAAGGCCAAAATTATAGCTATATGAATAGTTGGAATTGTGATACGCAAACAGAGAGCTATTTAAATCTGTACTTTTTCAAGTTTAGCGCACAAACATCGGACAGGTGATGAGTACCAACTGAAAGTATGCAGTACAAGACCGAAAGGTCCAGAATAGCTGGGTTCGGCTTACGCAAGCAAGCTACTATTGGGTTGATGCATAAGTCCATGCCATTCCTCATTGGATTGGTACCACTGCATTTTGAAACCTTTGTTTTTCGTTATTCAATTGGTTTTCTGTATTAGTAACCCAGAAGAATGCACGCTCGTATACGGCCAGAAAACCCTTAGATGCGATTGCTGAACTCGGTTGAGAATCAATTCCTCGCCCTCCGTATTCACTAAACTTAGCCCCTTCAGATTATCATCTTTTCCGGTCTCTCTCCTCGTGAACTGCAAAAACTAGGAAACTGAAATTTTTGCATGCCATACTCTGCCTACGTACAACTCCACAAATTTTCAGCGTCTCCGTGAAAGTTTTCGCAAGAAAAATCATGAATTCGAGAGCCAGCAGAGTTAGGAGCTGAAAATTTCAGGAGAGTGTTTCCTGCCTAAGCAGGGGCCCCATAAACTCGAATTTAGTCCCTACGTATACCGACACGTACGACCACGTGGAAGTTTTGTTTCAAAAATCATTCGAAAGCCAGAAAATTAGGACACTCAGGGACAATTGTTTCATGATGAAGCATCTCTTAGCAATTGGCTTACTGATTTCTTCAACGCGAAATCACATTTCCACAGGGAAAGCATAGAACTCCTATCTGAACGCTGGCAGGCGGTCACTGACAAAGATAGTGATTACATCACTGAGTGAAGAATGTTTGAAAAGTAATTTATGATCTGTGTATCAATATTGTATTGTAATGTCATGTGATGTATTTTGTACTAATAAAAGAGCACGGACTTATACATCCCTCCCGTTCCCCCCTAACCCACCTCCCCCATACCTTCTGTAATAGGGGGAACTCACATTGACTGCTTAGCGAGTATTTGTAATTTTCTAGCGAAGTTTCTCAAGAATTTTTCTACAGATGGGAGTTCCACTAAAATTTTCGTACAGCAAAATCTGTGTTCCCGTTATCAATCAGTCACGAGCTCCGTTATCAATATGTTTCGCGCATGAGCATTTTTTGTGTGGCTGCGCATCGAGCGATCAGCAGCCGAACGAGAAATCATAGATAATTGCTCATTGTGATCATCATTGTCATCATCATCATTATCATCACCAACAGCGCCACTATCGCCATCATCCAGGAGCAAGCAGCGATGGCATCCACGAGGAGCCGGGTTTGATGAATCACGCATGCATGTGCTTGCTGTCAGCAAGTATTTCCTGTTCCCAGACCAGATCATCATCATCATCTGATATGGCCCTGGAATTCACTGCCTCGGTCGTTTCAGTTCACCATCATCCACGTCACCCACCAATAGTTTTATTATCTTTATTTCCTTCTGTTCCTAGCGTTTTTTCAAATTCTTCGAGTTGTGATCTTTCTGTATGAAGAATGTACACTTTGAGAGCTGGAATTACCATGGCTGCTGGCATCCGACTTGCCCTCTCACAGATCCTCGTTAGCGGGTTTAAATTGTACCCAACGTTTTTGGATGTGGCATGATGATGATAATGATAGAAGGCATGGGAATTATAAATTGTGTTTTTACAAGACATGCGGAAGTAGTCTGTGTTTCATTCCTTAGTTGTAAACACACAGCTCTATATACGGACTGGTGTAACTTGTTGCAGGATGGTCCCACTTACACTGCATCGTTTCAGGAACAACCCAAAGTGCATCGATTTTGAATGTATTCTCGATAAATGTTTGACTGTATTCTAGCAAACAGGCTTTAGTTCGTAAAGATCCTGATAATTATTATACAAGTAGTAGTTACTATTACATATATATATATATGTATGTATATGTACGTATGTATGTGTGTACTTATATATGTATGTGTGTGTATGTGTGTATGTATGTGTGTATGTGTGTATGTATGTGTGTATGTATGCATATATGTATGTATATATGTATGTATATATGTGTGTATATATGTATATATGTATGTATATATGTATATATATGTATGTATATATATGCATGTATATATGTATGTATATATGTATGC